TACAGTACCGAGCAAAAGTCTTGCAACATCACTTTTTCAAAAATATCGATGAAATTTTTTTATAGAAAATGCCACCCGTTCGTAGGGCTTTTTTGTTTTTAATTAGAATAATATATTTACACTTTATTTACAAAAACAAATTTAAAGTTCAGCGTAAAGTAAAAAAGTAAATGACAAAACTACTAAAAAATACCCTAAAAACTGGGTGCAAAAGTCTTGCAACATTTTATGTTTCTCATTTTTATTGTTTTCAAATTTATTAATTTACACTAATTTTTGTTTTTTTCAGATGCCAGGTACCTACTTGAAGACTCCCGAAAGAGAAAAAACCATGAAAGCAAGAAAAAAAAGGAATTTCTCGAGCCGTTGTCTCTGATCTCTTCAAATGCGATCCTTCGACCGTTTCTCGCATTGTTTCAAAAGTAAAAACAACTGGACTTATGCACCGAAGAAAGAAAAAAGGACGGTCAAGAAGAACAACAGCAGAAGAGGATCGAATACTTGTGATGGCTTCCAAGAAGGATCCGAACATGACATCAACTGAGGGAGCTCGGCTGATCAAGGATGTTGCAAACAAGGATATCTCTCGATGGACCGTTTCTCGACGATTGACTCAAGCAGGACTGTATAGCCGGCGGGCTGTACGAAAGCCTTTGATGACCGCTGGCCACAGGAAACAACGGCTTCTATTCGCCAGGACGTACCAAAGTTGGACAAAGCAGGATTGGGCCAACGTGATTTTTGTCGATGAAACAAAAGTGGATATCTTTTCTCCAAAAGGCAACCACTTGATCAGACGACCCATTGGAAAGCGAATACTCCTTAAATATGTGCGACCTACAATGCGAGCTGGCGGAGGATCAATCATGTGTTTTGGTAAGCCTTATTTCTAATACATGCATTAATTTGTCTTTTTCTAGGGGCGATGACAAAAAATGTGGCAGGTCCGCTCGTCCTCGTCCAGTCAACCATGAATGCTCGCCAGTATATGGAAATACTAGAAGGATGTCTACTTCCATTTGCTCAGAATCACATGGCTCCTGAATGGTTTCTCTACCAGGACAACTCGCCGGTCCACAAGAGCAAGCTCATGATGGGTCGCACCGTGAATCTCTCAAATGGAGGAAAAGCTCATCTCCCTGGATGGTTTTGCCCTTAATAATGTTTTGTTAGTCAAAGTGCCCCCTATGTCGCCTGATTTAAACGTTATTGAGAATTTATGGGCTTACGTGAAGGCAAAGTTACGAGGAAAAGACTTTCACACAAAAGTTGACTTATGGTTCTACATACGAAAAGTTTGGAGCTCAATTCACCCAGCAATTCTTCACGAATTAGTCGACTCAATGCCTAAACGACTTAATGAAGTGATTTTGGCAAAAGGTGGACCGATTGAATATTAATTTTTGATGTTTCTGTAAAATGTTGCAAGACTTTTGCACCCAGTTTTTAGGGTATTTTTTAGTAGTTTTGTCATTTACTTTTTTGCTTTACGCTGAACTTTAAATTTGTTTTTGTAAATAAAGTTTACATATATTATTCTAATTAAAAACAAAAAAGCCCTACGAACGGGTGGCATTTTCTATAAAAAAATTTCATCGATATTTTTGAAAAAGTGATGTTGCAAGACTTTTGCTCGGTACTGTATCATATTGTTTTTATTTGATGCTTTGCATATTAAAAAATGACAGAAACAAATCAGCTGATTAATTTCCTGCCATATTCGCTGATTTTCAACAGATATCCGATCCACCATCTTGCCGCTAGCTTGCAGGGCTTGCAGGAGCAGGTGATTCCAAAATTGCCCGACTTAGTTGCTGTCCCTTCTACAAACTTCTGTGTCGATCATCGAATCCTGCTATCATTTTGACATAAACATTGAGTTACGGCTGTCAAGCAAATTCCATTTCACACCCAATTGATTGTGCTCGACTTCCATTTACTTCGCCCTTCTGGGATTTTATGGCAAATATGGCAGTGTTGCAGCAAAATTTCCAATTCTGATAACTCAACAAAGAGTTGTTGACATAATACTCAACAACAACAACGACAACGATAACGACAGCGACAACAACGACGACAACAACAACGACGACAACAACAACGACGACGACAACAACGACAACGACAATGACAATGACAACAACGACGACAGCGACAACAACGACGACAGCGACAACAACCACAACAACGACAACAACGACAACAGCGACGATAGCGACAACAACGACAACAACGACAACAGCGACAACAACGACGATAGCGACAACAACAACGACAACAACAGCAACAACGACAACAACAGCAACGATAACAACAACGATAACAACAACGATGTCTTCAATAAATTATTGTACGTATCATCTTCAATAACTTCATCATCGCTCGTACTCACCTCAAATGAAAAGTTCAAAAAAGAAATGATTCTATTTTTCTGGCTTGCCAGTTGACACGTTTAAACCTGTCTACCGCGGCAGGAGATGTTCATCAACAAAAGTTTGGCAGGAAATCAATCAGCCGATTTGTTTCTACCATTTTTGGTATACAAAGAATCAAATAAAAACAAATGATAGTTATCGGCGAAAGGAATTTTTCACTTTGAATCGGCCTCGATTGTTACCGCCCGCCAAAAACTATATAAGTCAGCCAAACATACATTTCATTCAAATTGAGTATGATTTTTATCGTGATTTTTTATAATTTCAATTTTTTTCTAACTTTTCTGTAGTTCTTGATCACACTAAGGCGTTCGATCGGCTGCCTTAAGCGTTGTCTTCAGCGTTGTCTTCAGCGTTGCCTTAAACGTTGTCTTAAACGTTGTCTTCAGCGTTGTCTTCAGCGTTGCCTTAAGCGCCTGCTTTGCCTTAAGCGTTGATCCAAAATTTGTATCCACGGTTTGAAAAAACACGACGAAAAGATGAAATAAATAAATAAACGGCAACCTTTTATACTTTGAGGCTTTTTGTCAAGCTGGGTTACAGTAGTTATCCATATTTTAGCGCGCAGAAAGTCGAAAAACGTTGTTCAACTTCAAAATGCTACTAGTTTTTTCTATGTGGTTTAATTTTTATGTTTTTTTCAAATGCTTGTAGAGTATAATAATACTTTATTCAAACGATAAAGTGAAAGAAATCATAGAGAAATGCACAGTGATACTTAATCATACAATACATACTGAAATCAATAAGCCAATTACTTACGGCAAAGAGCCACTAGATCTAAAGCATCGATACGTTTCTTGAATATGAAAAGCGACTGAATTTCTCGTATGTCGTTTGGGAGCAAGTTCCATAATCTAGCGGCTCTAACGGGAAATGAATTTGATAAAGAGGCATTGGAAGCAAAGGGAATTTGCAAAAGGAATGAGCCACTTCTGGGCCCTGACCGCGGTTTAAATTTGAAAAAGTCTATAAACAAAGGGCTAATCTGTTTACAACGGAGGATTTTGAAAGTTTCGACTAAATCAATGACAAAGCGACGATGCTGTAAAGTTTTTAGTTCAAAAAAAAGCAAGTCTCTCCTCATAAGTAAAGCTAGAATATTTAGAATAGTCAATTTTCCATATAGGTGCATAAATGTAAGTTGAAGGATTTGCGTGTCTGCCCACCATCTGCGAAAATTGGCCTTAGAAATGAGGTGAGTCTGGCTCTCTCTATAGAAATTAGCCGATTAGCCGAGCCGATAAATCGGTGGTTTGCTTTTGCTTGCTTGCTGTTTGCTCAAATACTGATTTAATTACCCAAGTTTGAGGTTGTCACAAGTGCCAGCGATTCTACTATTTCATCAACCGTTCTCATCTACTTCATCTACTGGTATCGATGAATGGTATCGACGATGGGCTGCTTCTTAAACCATTCTCTGCCACCTCCTCTCAAGCCAATCGACAATCAATCGTCGGACTTTGCAAAGAAACTTGACCACAGCTATCATGTCGTTTTGGAAGGCCTTTCCGAAGTTGCTATCGAGTTTCGCCTCACCCCGAAACCTCGATCAAACTGTGATCGCCATCTTCTCGAGTGCTGGCTTCTTACGCTTTCGATGCATCGTCCACACATATCGGATTGGAGTATACTCTTCCCACAAATCTCGACCGATAAAAATCATCCTTGCATCAACGCATGGCGTCTCTACGATTATCAGATCGTTCATCGTCAATACTCCGACCTCCTGACCGTCAATACTCGCTAAGTGCTGGCGTCTTACGCCTTCGACGAACACATCGTTCACACATATCGTTCACTTCTCACGCTTTCGACGAACACATCGTGCACACATATCATTCTAATACGTATGCTTCCTCCACATTATCCACATTTTCACCTATTGAGTGCTCCGTTGAGTGCTCCTTCTGGTGTCGTTCTATTTGAGGTTGTCAGAACGATAACCTCAAATAGAACGACACCAAAAGAACAACATTAGACAACATTAGGCAACATTAGAGCGACATTAGAACAATACAGCATTTATTTAGTATTTTATGTGGAAACTTTTACTCGAGTAGGCATTGACTTGACTCCCGTAATCCGGCCCAGATTCTTTAATCTTTCTTATCTTTCTTATCTTTCTTATCTTTCTTATCTTTCTTATCTTTCTTATCTTTCTTATCTTTCTTATCTTTCTTATCTTTCTTATCTTTCTTATCTTTCTTCAAACAATTGGATTCCTGTAACATTCATTGACTAAGAACGGCTATGCTCTGCTATGCTTTCTTGGTTCTGATTGTATGATTTGCAATTTTGAAATATGCAATTTGTAATATGCAGTTTGAAATACGCAATTTGAGATATGCAAATTTGAAAATAGATTTTTATTTCGAGGAATTTGAAGGTTGCGGGAAAATGCCCAGAAAAAGAGTGAAAAGTAGCGTTTCACGAAAGCTGGAGAAGAAAAAGAGAAAAACGAGAGAAGACTAGATTGAAATGGCACAGAAAAAATGGGAAATTTGATGGTAAAAAGAAAAATCATTGAATTTTTCTTCATTTTTATAGAGATTTTATCATTTAGAGTCGGTCGAGTGAAATCTCGGCCTCTTCTGGGTACTCGAGTTCCCAGATACGCTTCAAGTGCTTTCCCTTGACGTCTCGAGACGAGCCGAAGCAGGTCATCAACTGGAAAGAGTTTTATGAAAAGATTTGCAAATGATTTCGCTTGGCTATTCTAGTAGAAGAGTGGAAGATTTGAACGTCAGAGTACTAGATCTGATACTTTTAGACACAGATACTCAATTTGCCAATTCTAGAAGCCTTTGGAAACGAAACTGGTTTTCTTTTGAAGCAACTCTGAACCTAAGCTAGACTAGTCTAGCTTCCAGTTTAAGCCAAACTGGTTAGACTAGTCTAGCTTCCAGTTTAAACCAAACTGGCCAGGCTAGTCTAGCTTCCAGTTTAAGCCAAACTGGTTAGACTAGTCTAGCTTCCAGTCTAAGCCAAACTGGCTAGACTAGTCTAGCTTCCAGTCTAAGCCAAACTGGTTAAACTAGTCTAGCTTTCAGTCTACACCAAACTGGCTAGACTAGTCTAGCTTCCAGTCTAAGCCAAACTGGCTAGACTAGTCAGCTTCCGGTCTACACCAAACTGGCTAGACTCAAGCCAAGTCAAAACCAAACCGATTCTAGGCTCAGCTTTGCCTTAGCCTTAAAGCCTAACCAAGCTCAGGCTCATAGTTGTTTCAAAGACAATCTCTCCGGAATAAACCAGAAGCCAAGTTCTATTTCCGCTTTTGTTTAGGTCTGGTAAATTATAAAATATTTTAAAGTGACTTTCAATTATTTACAATTTCAATTAACAATTTCAATTAACAATTTCAATAATCAATTTCAATTATCCATTTCAATTATCCATCTCAATTATCCATTTCAATTATCCATTTCAATTATCCATTTCAATTATCCATTTCAATGAATTAACTGAATGCAAACCTTCTGCGAGTCTCCACGATTCCATCCAGCCTGTGATGGGATGATTGTCTCCGATTTCTTCATGTCCTCTAAAGACAAATTTTTAAAAATAGTTTTATTTATTCTTTATTTTAAATTCTAAAGTATAAGTTCTAAAGCTTCTAAAGCGAAAATGATAAAGATAACTTTTAAAATAGTATTTTTTTCTTTTAAAGATTCCTGTTCTAAACGACTTGTGAGCTTAAAAGTGTCCATAAATATTGAACAGCTTGAACTACAAGAGATAGAGTACTTGAACTACAAGAGTACTTGAACTACAAGAGTACTTGAACCTTGAAAAGAGGTTTTATTGTTTTAACTGATATAAACAGACCATATGGAAGCTCTCCAGCCTCAGCCTCGTAGGTGGTGTTTCGGATTGTTCCGAAACCGGTCATTCCCTAAAATTCATTCCCATTCCATTTCAGCAATTGCAATGATAAGCAATGAGAAGTGAATTTTTGAACTTACCGCTTGCGAGGCGAATCTGTTGGTACCGGATTGGAGACGAACCATTCCTTGAGATTTCCTGTTTTGCCACGAGATTGATGGGTCGAGCACCTAAATGAAATAGTTTTAGACTTAGTTTTAGACTCTAATCGTTTTCTGGAAAAGTGCTAGAGCTATCCGTAAGCTTGAAAACTTTAAGGAGCAAGAGTAAGAGCAAGAGCTGCTTGAAAAGAAGCAACAGGAGCAAGAGCTGCTTGAAAAGAAGCAGTAGGGGCAAGAGCTGCTTGAAAAGAAGCAGTAGGGGCAAGAGCTGCTTGAAAAGAAGCAACAGGAGCAAGAGCTGCTTGAAAAGAAGCAACAGGAGCAAGAGCTGCTTGAAAACAAGCAGCAGGAGCAAGAGCTGCTTGAAAAGAAGCAACAGGAGCAAGAGCTGCTTGAAAAGAAGCAGTAGGGGCAAGAGCTGCTTGAAAGAAGCAAGGGCAAGAGCTGCTTGAAAAGAAGCAACGGGCAAGAGCTGCTTGAAAAGAAGCAGTAGGGGCAAGAGCTGCTTGAAAAGAAGCAACAGGAGCAAGAGCTGCTTGAAAACAAGCAGCAGGAGCAAGAGCTTAAGCTTAAGCTTACTTAAGCTCTTAGAAAACGGTACTCTATATCTCCTTCACATACCTCCCAACGTCCTTGTCCAAAGGAAGTCATTCCCTTTTGCGAGGCGAATTTGTTGGTTCCCATTTGGAGTGGAATGGTGGATCCATCGATTGATGACTCGGGATTGTATTCGGGGTGAGCCGTGTCAACGATTCGGCAAGTCTCACGACGGTTGGTACCCATGCAGGTCATTCCCTGAATTGTTTTCCATTTATTCAGCATTTTTTCAGCATTTTTTCAGCATTTGATGAGCTAGTAAAGCTAGCATTTCTAGCTAGCTAGCTAGCATTTCTTTCCCGATCATCAGCTTTCTCATCAGCTTTTTCTGTGAACAAACCTTTTGCGAGGCGAATTTGTTGGTTCCAGATTGAAGTGGAATCTCGCTTTGATCGGGTTTCTCGTGATCGTATTCCGGATGTTTGGTATCTTTGCATTTGTAGGTCTCACGACGAGCAGTACCAATGCAAGTCATTCCCTAAATTCATTGACTCAAAGTTCTTAGCTTAAAGATTTGGCTCAAAGATTTGGCTTAAAGATTTGGCTCAAAGGACTCAAAGGCCTCAAAAGCCTCAAAGGACTCAAAGGACTCAAAGGCCTCAAAGGCTTCAAAGGCCTCAAAGGCCTTAAAGGACTCAAAGGACTCAAAGGACTCAGTGGCCTCAAAGGACTCAGTGGCCTCAAAGGACTCAGTGGCCTCAAAGGACTCAGTGGCCTCAAAGGACTCAGTGGCCTCAAAGGCTTCAAAGGACTCAGTGGCCTCAAAGGACTCAAAGGACTCAGTGGCCTCAAAGGACTCAGTGGCCTCAAAGGACTCAGTGGCCTCAAGGACTCAGTGGCCTCAAAGGCTTCAAAGGACTCAGTGGCCTCAAAGGACTCAAAGGACTCAGTGGCCTCAAAGGACTCAGTGGCCTCAAAGGACTCAGTGGCCTCAAAGGACTCAGTGGCCTCAAAGGCTTCAAAGGACTCAGTGGCCTCAAAGGACTCAAAGGACTCAGTGGCCTCAAAGGACTCAGTGGCCTCAAAGGACTCAGTGGCCTCAAAGGACTCAGTGGCCTCAAAGGCTTCAAAGGACTCAGTGGCCTCAAAGGACTCAAAGGACTCAGTGGCCTCAAAGGACTCAGTGGCCTCAAAGGACTCAGTGGCCTCAAAGGCTTCAAAGGACTCAGTGGCCTCAAAGGACTCAAAGGACTCAGTGGCCTCAAAGGACTCAGTGGCCTCAAAGGACTCAGTGGCCTCAAAGGACTCAGTGGCCTCAAAGGCTTCAAAGGACTCAGTGGCCTCAAAGGACTCAAAGGACTCAGTGGCCTCAAAGGACTCAGTGGCCTCAAAGGCTTCAAAGGACTCAGTGGCCTCAAAGGACTCAAAGGACTCAGTGGCCTCAAAGGACTCAGTGGCCTCAAAGGACTCAGTGGCCTCAAAGGCTTCAAAGGACTCAGTGGCCTCAAAGGACTCAAAGGACTCAGTGGCCTCAAAGGACTCAAAGGACTCAAAGGACTCAAAGGCCTATTTAATTCCTATTTAAAAGCTTGCTAATATTCATTTAGCATCTAATAACTTTAAGAAATAGTGGCAAGTTTTAAATGTTCGAACTTTGCATTCAAAAGCATTCAAAATGTTCGAACTTTGTAAAAATGGAGAAAGAACCGGAAATCTCGAGTTTTTAGCTAATTGCTAGCCCTAATTTGCCTAAATTATCAGCTAATCTAATAACAATATCGTGATATCATTTCTAAAACTCTTCTCACCTTCTGCGAGTCATATTTGTTCGTACCGGCTTGAAGACGCACGATTCCCTCGGAGAGACGAATTTTCTCCTCCGGAAGCTCCTAAAAAGATTTTAAACTTTAAACTTAAAGACTCAGGCAGGACTTCGAACCCTTAGATTTTCTTTTGACCCTTAGATTCAAAGGCCATGGCTCTACCGACTACATTAAAGAGAAAAGCTGGTTTACTTTAAGAAATCTCTTATAGAAATCTCTTATAGAAATCCCAGGAGTACTAAAGACCAATGAAATTTTGTTGTAAAACTTTAACATTAAATATCTCGTGATCTAGGTTGAGTTGGCAGCTAATTTTTGATTATGAATCTTGTCGATTCTATAAGGTTCACTTGGCTTTGAAACAATTCCGAACTTTGAGTTGAGTCAATTTTCTTGTAACCTTTCTTGTAAGCTTACGAGTAAGCTTTCTCTAAGCTTTCTCTAAGCTTTCTCTAAGCTTTCTTGTAAGCTTTCGCGTAAGCTTTTTAGTAAGCTTTCTCGTAACCTTTCTCGTAAGCTTTCTCTAAGCTTTCTCTAAGCTTTCTTGCAAGCTTTCTCTAAGCTTTCTCGTAACCTTTCTCTAAGCTTTCTCTAAGCTTTCTCTAAGCTTTCTCTAAGCTTTCTCTAAGCTTTCTCTAAGCTTTCTTGCAAGCTTTCTCTAAGCTTTCTCTAAGCTTTCTCTAAGCTTTCTCGTAACCTTTCTCTAACCTTTCTTTAAGCTTTCTCTAAGCTTTCTCTAAGCTTTCTCGTAACCTTTCTCTAACCTTTCTTTAAGCTTTCTTGCAAGCTTTCTCTAACCTTTCTCGTAACCTTTCTTGTAACCTTTCTCGTAAGCGGCTTTTAAACTCACAGGTAAATCAGCGGGATTCTGGTTGACGCGAACCGACTCTCGGCAAACATCACGACCCGATCCGAAGTTGGTCATTCCTCTCTAAATAACAAATTTCTCAAAGAACTATCTATTGTTTAATGTAAGTTCTTTATTTATTCATGATTTCTTTATGATTTCTTTATTTCTTCTTTCTAATTTAATTTAACCTTTCAAAAGCTCACCTGTGAGGCGTATTTGTTGGTACCGGATTGAAGACGGACTTCTCCATGAGTTCGTTGAGCCACATCGTCTGGGATCTCCTAAAGACAATGATATTAAGAAATTTAATTGTTGTGCATTGTTGAATTGTTTAAAATTGTTTAAAATTGTTTAAAATTGTTTAAAATCGTTTAAAATTGTTCTAAATTGTTCTATATTGTTCTAAATTGTTCTATATTGTTCTAAATTGTTCTAAATTGTTCTAAATTGTTCTAAATTGTTCTAAATTGTTCTATATTGTTCTATATTGTTCTAAATTGTTCTAAATTGTTCTAAATTGTTCTAAATTGTTCTAAATTGTTCTATATTGTTCTATATTGTTCTAAATTGTTCTAAATTGTTCTAAATTGTTCTATATTGTTCTATATTGTTCTAAATTGTTCTAAATTGTTCTAAATTGTTCTAAATTGTTCTAAATTGTTCTAAATTGTTCTATATTGTTCTATATTGTTCTAAATTGTTCTAAATTGTTCTAAATTGTTCTAAATTGTTCTAATTGTCTATTTTCTAATTGTTCTAAATTGTTCTAAATTGTTCTAAATTGTTCTAAACTGTTCTAAATTGTTCTAATTGTTCTATATTGTCTATATTGTTCTTATTGTTCTAAATTGTTCTAAATTGTTCTAATTGTTCTATTGTTCTATATTGTTCTAAATTGTTCTAAATTGTTCTAAATTGTTCTAAATTGTTCTAAACTGTTCTAAATTGTTCTAAATTGTTCTATATTGTTTAAAATCGTTTAAAATCGTTTAAAATCGTTTAAAATTGTTCTAAATTGTTGCAAATTGTTGTAAATTGTTGTAAATTGTTTAAAAGGTAAATTCTTGCTTATAGAGTTGATCTTTTGTCCTAAAAAAGTTGAATTTGATGAATAGAAAACTATTTAATCGTTAGCCTTAATGAAAAAATTGTAAACAAATTCTTCTAGCCATTGCATTTGTACTTTGGACTCGTTTGTACAATTGTACTTTAGATTTGTAAACGCAAGCTCTCTAGCGCACTTGTTTCTTTATTTTCTCGTGAAATCGAGTGAATTTTGTGAGAAAATGAAGAAACTACAAGAATCTAGAGCACTAGGACGGGTGTGTTTACAAATTTGAGCACAAAGTACGCTACAGTACGCTACAATTGCGCAGTGAAGCCGTGAAAGCTGAGGAATCTGTCTAGACTTAGCAGTGCGCGAGAAAGGGTGCGTTTGTTAAGCACAAAGTACATTTGTTACGCACAAAGTACATCTTAAAGAGGTAAAATAGAGGTAAATGGCTAAAAATAGCTAAAAATAGCTAAAAATAGCTAAAAATAGCTAAACATGACTAAACAAAGCTTATTTCAAACCTTAAAAAGATCAAAATTGATCAAAAGTGTTTCTGAAATCATTAGAAGACTTATAAATGAATAATCGAACCTCGTACGGTATCTTTTGCACATAAATATCGAATTGAATTCGGTGTTTTCTTTTATGAGCCATTTTTATATAGGAAATAAATCAATCTTTCACAAAATTTTGATGGCAAATCGATGTAATGGCGAAAATAAACCGAAATTGGAGCTATTTGTTCAGCTTTTTCTTCTTTCCCTTCCTCTTTCTCTTTCCCTTTCCCTTCCTCTTTCTCTTTCCCTTCCTCTTTCTTTCTCTTCCTCTTTCCCTTCCCCGTTCCAATTATTCGAAGATTAGTGGTTCAGCTCAACAATTTGCTTGACATTACGGATTATTTATCATTTATTGAGTCAAAGTTAGACTCAATTTCTGTTTACCTTGAGTCTTAGCGGTCTTCTTGCCGACCGGTCTCATTGCAGCCGTGGCCGAGTGGTAAAGCGCTCGTTTCTAGAGCGAGAGCTCACGAGTTCGATCCCCGATTGGAACCTTCTTTTTTTCTTTCTTCAAGAAGACTATTTTTGGTTACTGATTAGACTATTGACTAGCAATAATCCAAAGCCAAAGAAAAAAATGAAGGGTTCAAGTGGGGGATCGAACTCGTGAGGTCTCGCTCTGAGAAACGAGCGCTCTACCACTCGGCCACGGCTGCACTGAAACCGGCCGGCAAGAAGGCCGCTAACACCCAAATACCCACATTTTCAGTGACAAAACAAGATTCAAAACTTTAGATTGTCAAATCTCCTGACAAATTGTCATTTAGAAAAAAAACGGAATCTATATCCGGAATCAGCATCAAATTCTGCGTCCAATGGTATAGGTCGCAAAGCATTTGACCGGCTCAACCAGTTGATCTTCCCTTGTAAGTTTACTCTCAAACAAACGCTCATATCTTGACACCAGTACGTTTATTTCTGCGGGCTGAGATATCAAATTAAAGTAGAGATAATGGGTGATTTTTTGAGATATAACACATATTTTTAGCATTAACCAGTGCTTAGAAAAAATGATTGAAAAATGACGAAAAATCGACTTTTTTTAAATCATTTTTCAATCATTTTTTCTAAGCACTGGTTAATGCAAAAAATATGTGTTATATCTTAAAAAATCACCCATTCTCTCTACTTTAATTTAATGCCTAAGCCAGCAGAAATAAACGTACTGGTGTCAAGATATGAGTGTTTGTTTGAGGGTAAACTTAGACGACGCTTCGATAGAAGGCGCTACGATTAGAACGATTGTAAGAGCTTCTATTAGACTTTCTGATTGATTATTAGGTTGGATTTCGTTTGTAAATAACATTAGAGTGAAAGAAACCTTGAGATTCTCGCTCTTGACACGGGTGTTCGTGTTACGCGGCGTTCCGAAGTTGGTCATCAACTTTTGCGAGTCTCCCTTGTTCCAACCGGCTTGCGACGGGATGATTCCTAGAATTTAATCGATAATCGGTTAGATAAACGGTAGATAAACGGTCAGATAAACGATTGAAATCATAGAATTGGGCCATAAATCTCCTACCATCAGTCTGACGGAGTTGAGCGAGAGTCCAGCGTCCGACTCTCTTCGGCTGTCCCTGCCCCGAGACTTTCGTCTCCATCGTGGCATTTGGCTGCTCTTCTGAAAGTGATTAAAGAATGAAGCTTAGAAAAGATATTCAACTAAACAGCTAAATAGCAAAAAAAGATTTTTCAGCTTTAAAATTTTCATTAAATTTTCTCTCTTTTTTCCTTTTTCTCCTTTTTTTCTCTTTTTCTCTTTTTTCTCTTTTTCCCTTTTCGTTTTGCAAAAAAAGCTTGCTTAGATTAGATTTTTGAGGTTTTCTTCGTGTGTTTTCTGTTTACTTTTTTCTTTTTCTCATCAATTTACTTCTAAACCTAAGCACTAACTTTTCTCTCAAAAAAATCATGCAAAAAGGACACTTGAAAAAAAAAATGGACAATTTTCGTAAACACATCCTTTCTGGCATAGTTCTTTAGGTTTTAAGGCTGCTAATTTGTTGGATTGGGTAGCTGTGTTTAGGGAAAGCTACCGTACCCAGGGAAAGCTACCGTACCCAGGGAAAGCTACCGTACCCATCTAAAAGCTGTGCTTAGGAAAAGCTACCGTACCCAGGAAGTACTTTAGATTTAGATTACGATAGACTAGATCAGTCAAGGATTACGGTAGTCTTAGCTTGAGGTTTAAGTAAGGATTACGGTAGCTTCCAATCTAAGTAAGGATTACGATAGCTTCCGATCTATGAAAGGATTACGGTAGCTTTTAATCTATGTAAGGATTACGGTAGCTTCCGATCTATGTAAGGATTACGGTAGCTTCCAGTCTAAGTAAGGATTACGATAGCTTCCAATCTATGAAAGGATTACGGTAGCTTCTAATCTATGTAAGGATTACGGTAGCTTCCGATCTATGTAAGGATTACGGTAGCTTCCGATCTATGTAGGGATTACGGTAGCTTTAGCTTAGAAATTTAGGCCAAAGATTAACCGCCTAGCTACCGTAGACTGGACAATGACTGGACAATCTGAAAAAGAAAGACACCGACCGTATTCATACTCATCTGGTTCTTCAATCGTTTCTTTTATCGGTGCTTGGTTCCTTTCAACATTCAGCGGTGTTGGTGTCGAGAATTTCCCAACTGGTGGCCGATATTGAGCCACATTTTTCAACTCTGGATAATTGCCGAAAGATTTTGGAGAAACCGGCGCCGCCACGAACTCTTTATAGGTGTTTGGGACGGATAAACGCTTTGGTTGATCGAGCTGGAAAAGATCGAACAATGGATTGATACAGAGATATTAGTGAAAGCAATTGTTTTTGATTTTTTTGCCTTTGCTTTTAATCTAGCTTTTAAAGTCTTCATCTAGCTTTTCAGTTTCAGATAAAGAGTAGAGAAGTTTGGACGGCTTTCTGCTGTACTTTGGGCTCACTTTTTAAACGCATATTTCCTAGTACAGTGAATTCCTCATTTTCTCAAGCCTGGCTAGTTGAAACCTAAAGAATTCAGTGCACCAGAAGGATTTGTTTACAGAGAAGCCGAAGCACAAAGTACAAAAGATTAAGAAGCTTTAGAAGAGGCTAATAAGTCACTAAACAGCCTTCTGGAACAATAAGAAAGCACTAAGAAGCTTTAGAAGACACTAAGAAGCTTTAGAAGACACTAAGAAGTTAGAAGACACTAAGAAGGTTTAGAAGACACTAAGAAGCCTTAGAAGACACTAAGAAGCTTTAGAAGACACTAAGAAGCTTTAGAAGACACTAAGAAGGTTTAGAAGACACTAAGAAGCTTTAGAAGACACTAAGAAGCTTTAGAGACACTAAGAAGCTTTAGGCACTAAGAAGGTTTGGCACTAGGCCTTAGAGCACTAAGAGCTTTAGAAGACACTAAGAAGGTTTAGAAGACAATAAGAGCCTTAGAAGAACTAGTAACCCACTAAACAGCCTTAGAAGATCAAAAATAGTCCAAGAATCTTACTGTTCGAAAACTAGACTTTGTTCTTTGTGCTTAACTCTGTAAAAGAACCCTTTCTAGTGCACTAAATTCTACAGAAACGATCCAGATAAAGAATTCCGTTAACCAGAAAGCATGCGTTTACAGATTTAACCACAAAGTACATCTAACAAGCAAATTAGGAACATAAAACATTCAACAAAAAAACCTGAGTCTCCTTTCCAACTTCTTGTAGCCGTTTGTCATTTTGTCGATGTTCTGACGGGAAATCTGGGACAATCGACCCCTTTCCCAGTTCTTTTGAATCCTTTTCCCTTCTTGGATCGTGTCTCTGCAATGCTTCAGCTTGTCTAGGTGACAATCCGGGCCACGAGTGCTTGTCTGGATGGAAATGATCCGGGAAATTGTCGTGTGCTCCTCCTTGTGGACTGTGATGGACAAGGTAGCGTTCCGAGCGGAAATTCGACCGCTGTTCATAGGAAAGACCAAGCATTTTTTGCGATTTTTTGCTTCTCTGAAATTCGGTGAATGAAATAAAGATGAAAGATTTGAAAATTCTATTGGAACTGGCCTTACGAGAGAACTGCTCGAATTTAGCATCGATTTGGGAGATGGAAACTAGCACTAGCGATTTGGGAGATGGAAACTAGCACCAGCAGATACTAGCAGAAACGCGAAATTCTTGAATTTACATTCAAAGGCCTGTAGAGCTATCTATTTCCATTTCCAGGGGATAAATAGGCATTTTCATTTGTCAATTTAGCTCATTACTATTAATTGATTGACTAATTGCTTGTTAATTGATTGACTAATCGATTTCATTGCTTTAACAAAAAAAACAAAAATGTTTGGACAGTGAGGGGATTCGAACCAGCGATAACCCGCGCGAGGAGCGAGCACACTATCCACTGGACTATCCGGCCATTTTCTGATAGGGAGAAATTCTCGGTCATATCGCGGCGAAGCCATTTTTTCAAACCTCCAAACTTTCCAAAACATAATCGCTCTCTATCTATGCGTTTTTCTGGTCTGCCACTTCAAGGGACGTCGTGGCGCAGTCGGGAGGGGGCTTGTTCACAGCCCCGGGTGGTCCGGGTTCGAGCCCGCATAGTACCAACCAAAGAGCTTTTTTTCTTTTGGGGAATTGGCTTCTAATCGAAAGTAAGGGCTTCTATTAGAGTTTTTACGATAACTCAAAAGATGACGATGACTCAAAAACTACATAACAGTACATACAAGTTTCGATCGGAATTTGAAGGAGTTCGTGTAGGAGAAGGGAGGATTCGCGGGGTTCGGCCAAACAGAAAGGGGGAACAGGGAGGGTAGGAAAGCACCTGAATCGAGCTCCTCTATTCAAGAAACTACCCGCCCACCCCATTAACAAATAGAGAAGAAAAAAAATGAAATGAGTGAAGTGAAAGGCTTTTCTTTCGCTTTTCTTTCTCTTTTCTTTCTCTTTTCTTTCTCTTTTCTTTCTTTTCTTAGTTTTTGTTGGGAATTGCGATTATACCCATCAGATGGGTTCTCCACCCGTTCAAGTGCACAGAAAAAAAGGTTTGGAGTCTTTGATTTTTGAGTTTTAGAGAAATAGAGAGCTTGGATATTGGATAGAAATGGAATTGAGATTTAGAAATGGAATATAGCTTTAGAATATTGAATATTCAAAGATATCAAAGATTTAACTCTTTTAGAAATCATGAAACAATGAAAAAACCCGAAAAAAAGTACGAGAAAGTACGAGAATTTGGAAAAACTTTGATGAAAGAGTATATACTGGTTTATTCAACCAATACAAGCAATCAATCAGAAACAAATCCTATTGAAATCCACAGATCGACAGAAACAAATCTTATTCAAATCCAAACCTAAACTAAACTACCTAATGCCATAACAGGACTTCAAATTCTTAAGACTTAAGCATAACTCTTGAAAGTCATTATTTTGTGGAGTGACGATGCTGGTCAATGAAAGAAAATAACCGATTTTAATGGCTGCAGTTTATGTGCAAGTCGCCCCGTAGTTTAATTTCAACGGGCACAGTGCGTTACATTGCTCTGCGCTTGGGATAACTCCGAACCTGCGACTAAGCGAGCTCAACGTTGCTTAGGCTTTGGCTGGCTTTGGCTGGCTTTGGCTGGCTTTGGCTGGCTTGGGCTGGCTTTGGCTGGCTTTGGCTGGCTTTGGCTGGCTTTGGCTGGCTTAGGCTGGCTTTGGCTGGCTTTGGCTGGCTTTGGCTGGCTTTGGCTGGCTTTGGCTGGCTTTGGCTTGGCTTAGGCTTAGGCTTAGGCTTAGTGCGAAGGCTAGGGCTAGCGCCTAGCACTCAATCTATTTAGGTTTGGGCTGAACCCCCATTTTCTGGATCTCAGCCAGTTCTCGGAGCTAAGGGACAGCCGCTTGGCGATTACGCTTAATCTTAGGCTTGGCTTAGGCTGGCTTTGGCTGGCTTTGGCTTGGCTTAGGCTTAGGCTAAAGATCGGACGGGATACCGTGTTTCAACGTGGCGGAAACGTAAAAAGTTATCAAATCTAAAGCAATTTAGTTTAAAGTTTAAGTTTAAAAGTTTAAAATTAAATAAGTAATTACATTTTGTAACTTTTACAAGAAAAATCCTCGTTGTTTCATTAGAAAAAAGTTGGGAATGAACAATGAAATGAAAAGAGAGAAAAAAAATGGTTATGTTTGTGTAGACAACGAGGCGATTTTCGAATTCGAGAAAGAGAAATGGAAAAGAAGAGAAAATGATGGGAAAATAGAGGAAAAAGATCAACAACAAGGCAGAGATTCGAAGAGTTTTCGAAGGCAGAGATTCGATTCTAACCAAGATCTCTTCTTGGCTACTCATTTGTAAACGCATCCTTTCTAGCGCACTCGAATTCTTCATTTCTCATGGTTTCTTCAAGAAGAATGAGAATTAAGTGTGCTAGAAAGCGTGTGGGAGCGGGTGTGCTTTACGGTTATCGGAGCGGGGTGATCGAGCGATTATCAGGGAAGGGGGCCAGTTTTCGACCATTTTGCAGCCCGATTTTAGATACCTTTTTGTTAATAACTTTTGATAAAACAAATAGTTTCTAAAAGTTGACGTTCTAAGCTATCTAAATCTTATTAAAACTTCCTGATCTGATGAGTTTAAGGTGTTTAAAAATGAGATGCAAGTTGGTCAATGGCAAGAACGCCCCGCCGCCTCGACCCCCTCGCCTCCCTTCCCCGCGCCCTCCTCGTCTCCTCCTCGCCCCCTCGACCGGCGCCTCCTCGATCCGCGCCCTCCTTGACCCGCGCCACCCTCGACCAGCGCCCTCCTCGACTCCTCGACCGGCGCCACCCTCGACCAGCGCCTCCTCGATCTGCGCCCTCCTTGACCCGCGCCTCCCTCATCCCCCTCGACCCCCCTCCGTCCATAAATTACCCCATCTTGGGGTCTGTGCTCCCGCCCTTTCTCGTGCACGCAATTCCTCATTTTTCCTACAGTAATGAGCCGTTTAGGGTAGAAATTTATAGAATTCCAATGTACTAGAAGGGTGCGTTTACTTGAAAGCACAAAGTACAGAAAGGAGATGTTTAAAAGGAGATGTTTAAAAAGGAGATCTTTAAAAGAAGATCTTTAAAAGAAGATTTAAAGATATCAAAAGAATAGATCTAAAGATCTAAAGATATTCAGTTAATTTCTAGAATTTTAGTTAACTTTAAAAAGTCTAGTGTCCTCATAAAAAAAAGCTTCAAAAGCCTCACTTGTACAAACATTTGAGTTCTCTTTTTCTCAAAAAGAAAAAGAGAAAAAAAAAACTTTGAGTGTTTGTGAGGGGTAAAAGACGATTTGGATAATCTTTTTGAATCTTTTTTTGAATCAAAGAGATCATCAAAATCTTTTCTCGATCTTATTATCTTTTCTTTATCTTTTTTACACTCTTAAATCCATTCAATTGTCAATTGGGAAACCCTAGAATTGACAGTAAATAGAGGATGAGTTTTTGGATTAAAAAAAAGCTGAAGAGAAAGAGTTAAATGAAAAGAGAAAGAGTTAAATGAAAAGAGAAAAAGAGAAAAAGAGAAATTGAGCTTTTAATCTTGATAGAGGGCCCTCATGGTTATGGCAGCTCACTCAAATGAGGGTGGGGGCCCCCCGACGGGCCCCGAGCGACGACCCTCCAGGGGTCCCTCCCTGGGGGCCCTGGCTTGAGGTTATAAAGCAAGGCACCCTATCCCCCCCGCCCCCCAGAAATACTTCAGTATTTATGTGTAGATGTGTAGTGTGTATTTCTGAATAAATATATATAAACAATAGTTTATATATCATTTCAATCATTGAATTGAGATTGAATTGAGATTGAATTGAAATTGAATTGAAATTGAATTAAAATTGAATTGAAATTAGTCTATAATTTGAAATTTTATCCAAAATTCATTTATGGCTTGATTTCTTCCGGTCTTTTGAACGGGCTATCACACTTTGAAGGCCTATAACTTTGCCCAGAGATCATATTATAGGTTTACTTTGTGCTCACATAAACGCATCTTTCTGGAGCATTGAATTCTTCGGTAACTCGAGAAAACATCTCTCGTTGCTGCAAATCCAGTGCGCTAGAAGAGATTCGTTTACAAGTGGAGAAAAAGTAGAAAATAAAAAGCTACTAGAGTAGATATTGGTAGTACGATAGATAGATCTAAAGATCTAAGGATCTAAGGATCTAAAGATCTAAAGATTGCAAGATCGATTTACTAGATAGATTTACTAGATAGATTTACTTTAGAGCTACAAGGTTTACTTAAGATAAACTTAAACTCACTACACGATCAGCTTTAACCTTATCATCGGGGATGACTTTGCTTCAGAATAGCCGAGTACAAGATCGATTTACTAGATAGATTTACTTAAGATCTAAAGGTTTACTTAAGATCTAAAGGTTTACTTAAGATCTACAAGGTTTACTTTAGATCTACAAGGTTTACTGTAGATCTAAAGGCTTACTTAAGATCTACAAGGTTTACTGTAGATCTAAAGGCTTACTTAAGATCTACAAGGTTTACTTTAGATCTACAAGGTTTACTTTAGATCTAAAAGGTTTAATTAAGACCTAGAAGGCTTACTTAAGATCTAGAAGGTTTAATTTAGATCTAAAGGTTACTGAAGTTCTAAAGATTAACTTTAGATCTAAAAGGTTTACTTAAGCTCTAGAAGGTTTACTGTAGATCTAAAGGTTTCTTTAAGCTCTAGAAGGTTTACTTAAGTTCTAAAGCTTTCTTTAAATCTAAGGCTTTCTTTAAATCTAAGGCCTTCTTTAAATCTAAAGCTTTCTTTAAATCTAAGGCTTTCTTTAGATCTAAAGCTTTCTTTAAATCTAAAGCCTTCTTTAAATCTAAAGCCTTCTTTAAATCTAAAGCTTTCTTTAAATCTAAAGCCTCCTTTAAATCTAAAGCCTTCTTTAAATCTAAAAGCATATAAAGATATCGTAATTTTCCTTTACGTTTAACAAATTGTACAATCAAAAAGGGAAATTT